ACACATTAAACACACATTAAACACACATTAAACACACATTAAACACACATTAAACACACAGTAAACACATTAAGCACACATTAAACATACGTTAAATAAACATTAAACACATTAAACACACATTAAACCCACATTAAACCCACATTAAACATACAGTAAACACACATTAAACAAACATTAAACACACAGTAAACACACACTAAACCCACATTAAACACACAGTAAACAAACATTAAACACACATTAAACATACGTTAAATAAACATTAAACACATTAAGCACACATTAAACACACATTAAACACACATTAAACACACATTAAACAAACATTAAACACACATTAAACAAACATTAAACACATTAAACACACATTAAACATGGCTTAATAGAGACAGTGTCAAACACAAATCAGCTTCACTATAACTCGCAGCATTCACAGACAAACACTTGTCTTTATCTGGACACATTTTCCCCACAAATACAACATGCTAACGTTATTAGCACAAGTCTATGGCATTTTACATTGTATAAATTAGCCTAGCAGCAAGCAGAGATTTGCTCTGCTCATATTTCAGCCAGGATAAATCACACACAGTGTGTGGAGGCTTTATTGTCTTCATGATTTATTGTTTCTTATCTGTGAAATTAAAGTAAATCAAAGCTTTGTTTCCACTGAGGGAAATGGTTTCAGCTCACAGAGACAGACAGGAGGTCTGTGTCACTGTGACACTGTGGAGTTACATTTTTGGGGAGGTGCACGGCTACAACGTTGATTTGATGCAGAGATATAAATTTACAATTTAGAGTCACCAGTTAACCTGCATGTCTTTGGACTGTGGGAGGAAACTGGAGCACCTGGAGAAGACCATGACAATAGTAACCAATACACCACTGTGTGAGAACGGATACTCGCGATACCTTTCGATTCCATGATGAAAAAAACCCTGCGATACTCTTTTTTTTTTTTAAAACAGGAAGAACCGATACCAGCGTAAGAATCGGTGCTATGACTCCTCCGGAACTGATGGGGGCAGTATATGCCATATAGCGTTACAGTCCAAGCCTACATTCAGAGCAAGGGGGTGACGAGGAAGAGGAGAGAGTGGCTGCCTGCTAAAGCCCACATTCAGAACCAGTCATGGCCGTGCTTTAGGCCAGAGAATAGATCTGCTAGCAATATATGCATTTTTAAACACCACTTTGTCTTTATTAATTGCTTTTAACTCGTTCCGTATTGCTTCTGAACCATCCGTGCTCCGTGCAGAGCTTTGTCTGGACTCTGGACATCTCCCTTTCTCCCCCAGCCCCTCCCCTGGGAGAGAGTCCGGTGGTCTCCTATGAGCCCAGCCTTGAAGACGTGCAACACTTCATTAAATGTCATTCAGTTCATCAAAAAATATCCCAATTAAATCAGTAGCATAATAAGCAGATATGCTCCATGTTATTTTGTTTAATTTCAATAACACAGAGAACAGCTTGAACAAGCTGCGTGTGAGCTAACGATCAGGGAGTTCACTCTCCGCAGTACATGACTGCGCATGCGCGTCTACTTCTGAAACACAGCGGTTGGAGTGTGTTCGATTTATTGTACTGGGACATTTGATTTTTCCACAACTGGATCACGGACGTCAAAAAACGCTGTTTGCACCGGGACAGGACAAACAATAAATGAAACCAATGAAACTCCACACATTCTTGTAGTTGGCTCAAACGCTATCAGCATGATTTAAATAGTAAATATTTAAATAGTTTATTGAGTTTATTGCAGATGTTGATCAATGTTTTTTACAATAAAAAATAGGTAACGAGGAAAAGAAAAATATAAGTAATATCAATCTGTTGATAGAAATTTTATTTTATATGCAAATATAAAATAAAGTATTTCTTGTACATGGGATCTTAGGATTTTTTTTTTTTTTTTTTTACCGTGGTATCGACTTTGGTATCGAGAATCCTTTAATTTTATTGGTATTGGCACTGAATTTTTGGTATCATGATATCCCTAGTAATAATAATAGTATAACTGATAAACAGGATTTAATAGTTTTTTAGTTTTTACTCACTTTATTTGGCCTTTTGACACTGAAATGAACAGGAAGTGACATCAGCAGAAAAGGAGCCTTGTGGCACCTCAGTATTTAAGACTGTGATCATGTGACCAACGCACCAATGGGAGTAAAGAAGCAAGTGGTCCATGTAAGAGGGTGGGTCGGGTCGATGGGCTCGGTCATGAAACAGAACCGTATGAACTTTTCAGTCATTTTAAGGAAGTTCAAAACGTTTCTGGCCCCGCCCCCTCTGATGATTCTTATATGAATCAGAGAAAATAAGAGTTCAGTTAACAGCCGTTAGTGTTGGTGATATTTATCTGAACATCAACACAACTTGATTTAGTCCAGAAGTCGGAACAGAGAATGACGTCACACCTGAGTGTACCGCAAGGAGTCACAACAGGGAGTCGACAACTTCTCAGTTCAGACGTAACGCGGCATCATCAGGCCGTCATGTGGAGGCAGGAGCTGTAAAAACCGCAGCAGTCTACTTCCTGGAAGTGCAGGTAGTGTGATGTGGCGCTCTGTGTCACTGCAGACAGGAAGTGCTTGAGAGACTTGGCTGAATGAAATGTGAGTAGTTTCTGGTCACTGCGGTGAGAAGAGCTCGTTTTAAAAGTTCTCTGTGTGTGATCTGAACGAATCTGTCTTTATAGTCGTAGAACTATTTCTACATTGGTGTGACATCACGGCAGCATACAGATTCTGACGGCCCGCTCTGTGTTGAGATTTTACAGCGTTATCTTTAAAGGGAAACAGGAAGAATGGGCTCAGACCTGTTTTTCGAAGCAATCTACTTCCTGTTGTGACCTCTGACCTCTCCTCCCCTTACCCAGAATCCTCCAGCAGCAGAATGAGGACCTGCAGCGCCGCCTCTCCCTCTCCACCCACAAGATGGAGGCCATGGAGGCGGAGTTTGACGGCAGCCGTCACTACATGGAGGCAGAGCTCAGCCGGACCAGAGACGATCTGGACAAGATGAGGGACAAGTTCCGCAGGTGAGGACTTGGATGTTGGCGGTTCTACTGGTGACGCACCGATACGGATTTTAATTTTCTTTTTCTTTTTTGTGGTAGTGAAACGACTTTAACCAGTGTTAAATGTGACGTTAACGGTGAGACAGAGGATGATGATGATGATGATGAAGCTCAGTGTTACTCTGTGCAGTCTTTAACAGAAACAAACAGCTGTCTCACATCTGCTGTGTCAAATGTTTATATCGTCACTCGCTTTGTTTTATCGGCTGTAATTTTAATTATCAGATTAAAGCATAATAATTAAAATGTCTCTGATACGTCCCGGCCTGAGGTCTGGGGTCTGGGAGATGAGAGATGGGGGATGGGGGGTGTAACACTGTGAAATAGAGGGATCTTTCAAAAGAGGGAAAAGGCATCCAAACAAATAGCCGTTTAAAAGGAAGTTTATTTACAACGAAACGTGCAAAAAAGGACCACCAACGAAAAACGAGCTCCAAAAGGGAACCGGATCACCTCTCAGGGAAACACACACAAAAGAAATGATTTAACACAGCCAACCCAAATTATCACCACACTACGTCAAAACGCTCACGTGTTACCCACGTCTGAATGACACTACTCTGTCACAGCCTCTTGGACCACTGGCAGCGTCACCACTCCTCCTCCATTCATATTTATCCTCACAGTAACACCCCCTCCCATAAAATCAAACATCTAGTTTGACTATATGTTTACAGCATTAACACAACACTACCATATGAATACAAATACACACCTTACCTAATCTTACCTCAACATGTCATACTCACACCTGTCTCACCCTCTGGACACTGCATCTACCCCCATGTTGTCTGCTCCCTTCTTGTGCCTAACCTCAGTGTTGAAGCCCTTTGCCGTCAGAGCCCAACGCATCAACCTCTGGTTATGGTCATACATCTTTACATGGAACCACCTGTGTTCAGGTGTCTGAATGATAGGGTTGGGTACCGTTCATAATTGAACCGATACGGTACCGGTACCAAACAATACCTTATTTCGGTACTTTTTAACCCTATGGGCCCTAGGCGTTTTTGGGGTATTTTTACTGCCTTTACTTTCAAGCTCATATCACAGTCATTATAAAGGCTACATACACATGCTATATCTTGTTTTTTTCAGGACAATCTGGGCTAACCAGATTTGCCATCATTTCATGTCCTTCTATGTGCCTATAGTTTATATTGATTTTATATCAATGAAAAAAACAAATCCGTGTGACTAAATTCTTACATTTTCACATGTATCTCAGCATAGCAAGTTGGAAGAAGACATATTCTACCATATATGAAGAGGGGAGACTCTCTGGAATCTTGCAATATAAGAACCATGATGGTGGGACATTCTGTCACTTCACAGTTGTCCAAAACATGTGGTTTGAGCCAGGCGGACATGATTGCCAGTATTTTTTCATTATTGCAAGAAATTCCATTGACTCATTCACAAGTCAAAAATGTGTTTTATCTGAAAGAAACATGCAATATTTACATCTAAGATCATAGAACCAAGTGCAGTGATGTCCTCCAAGATAATATTTGTTTTTCAGTTTCAGTTATATACTGGGGAACATTTTGGGCAG